TTCCGAGCTCACCTGATAAATACGCTAATTTTTCGCTAACTCCTGGAGTATTATATTCATTATATCTCTGTAAGGATATCGATGACTCCTCTAATATAACGTCTTCTTGAATTATAAACATATACGTCCAGTCCTGTTGCCTTCCAGTCTGTTTCATGCCCTTTCCATTTGATAAGTTCTATTTCGGATCTCGTATCCATGTTTCTACATTATTTGACGTTCTTTGATTTGCAGTCCATTTTATATTCTGGTTTCCCTAGGATACTTCTTCTCAGAGTCCATGTATTTTATGCATCACATTTCCGATCAATTAAGTTTTCCTTCGTAGTTTTTTACTAATTACACACGAGGGTAGGCATAACCACTTTTAAGTGAGAGCTTAGTCATCCTAGGTGATTTTAAGGATTGGTGGTTGGGTTTTCCTACAATGGGAGTTGTAAGCTTCATGATTCCACTGACCTTTACTTAGTATTGCCTCTGAAAAGCTTATTTCACCCAAAATGGACTTCAGTTTCTACCTAGCTGCAAGAGTAGGGAGGGGATATTTCTGCCACAAATTTCAGCTAACATTTGATCATAAATTAGTTCTGTTGCCCAAGCTTTATTCGATATTGAATCGTAGATATTGTGGCAACGTTTACCACTGCTAGACGGTTAAGCGTGCTAGTTGGTCAAAGAGCAAATGTGACACTGTTTTCCGCTTTCCAGAAAAGCTACTACGTCAAAGGACTTATCTAATGTGTAGAAAATCTGGGTTCCGACTCGCTTCTTCAAACGAAATGTAAGGTACTTCAACATCGACTTCATAATATTTGGTGCCTTCGTTTATTTACGCAGCGGACCTAAGAGTATATTTTTGTAATGGACGGTAGCATCAAATGATATTCTTTCGGATGGCAGTAGATTGGGTTCTTGGCACAGCCGCATGGTTTGAGATAACATTCGGATTACATTGATATTCAAATGTTTTGATCTTGGCCCAGGTTCACTGATTCAGTACAGCTCTATCGATTACTCTTATTCTCTTAGGATCTCACCCTCTATTTTCTTTATATATCCATCTTCACAAAGTTTGATCTAACGGCCTGAATACTTGGATAAGCAAAGTTATTTCTGTTCTCGGATCGGTCCCCGTGTGCTGCAAATGCTACAATAAGCATACTCCCTGCGGTCACTGGTCAATTAATCATCAGCCCCAACATTCACGGGGCCTTATTGCTCTCTTTTTATGGAGGATATAAGTCTTGCAAATAAAAATTCTATTTGTCGCCATATTCCCAACGAAAAGTCTGTCATGTAGGTGAGATTGTCTTAGTAATACCGAAAGGCGATAGCTTCATTATTTTAAATTTTAATATAAATGTCTAATGAAAACTTTCACTCTAGGTCACTTTTTTTTCTTATTATGCTCAAAGATGTAACAATCCTTCGGGCTAATTTTTAATTATTGTGACCAAGGAGTAGGTAATGATCAGTCAAGACTTGTTCGTCTATTAGGCTTCGAGCCCGATCTTAATATGCTTCCTTTTTTTATTTGTACGATGCTCTATTTTGGGTAGTCGCTCTTGCTATGGCCTAAGTCGATTCGATCGCAACTCTTAAATGGATTTAAGCGCGCATTACTCAACTTTACTGGGCTTCGATAAGTTAACTTTCGGATTTGGCATCGGGTATTTGGAGTAGGGAGGGAATATTGCTGCCAGGAACTTCAGCTAACATTTGATCATAAATTATTTCGTTTTTTAGCAGGGCCATATTTTCAAATTAGACAACCCGCTTCACTGTCTCGAGACTGCTCATCAACAACCTGCAAGAGACTGGCCCGAATTCGGTGGGCTGGATATCGAAAAGTCAAAAACCGTCAAGGCGGCTAGGTTAGCTAGGCAGCATGAAACGGCGGCCCCAAGACTCGATGGATTGGCCGCCCACTCCTCAGCCTCCTCATCGCCCTTTCCCGCTTCCACCAACCACTCCTCCAGGAGGAAAAAGGTTTCCTCTGGTGATTCGGAGATCATCTTGAATTCCGTTAAGCGCATGGGCCTGGACTCAGAAACTCCTGTATCCTCTATTTCGAATGAGGCCTCGTGATGCCAGATCGTCTGCATCGATCCTCCAGTCACCTATCCAAATTATTTCCTTGCATTTTGCATTTAAGATATGATATCCTAATGTTTTTCTTGTCACCATGCTATCTTAATCACTTATTTCATTCTTGTTTGGGATATTTAATCCCCTTGATTTTGATCA